AACTTTTTAACACATGCACATCAGATAGAGCACTAATCTCTAGGGTATATAAAGAATTCAAAAGGCTAAACACAAAAAAAAAATAGAATAGACAATTTGATTGATGTATGTACATTCTATGTATGTATTATACGTCAAAATGCATTCTACTGTCATGTATGACTAAAAAAAAATAAATAAAAGTTAAAAAAACCCCAATCAATAAATGGCCAAGGAAATGAACAGACACTTCTCAGAAGAGGATATATAATCAATCAATAAATATATGAAAATATGTTCAACATCTCTAGCAATTAGAGAAATGCAAATCAAAACTACTCTAAGATTTCATTTCACTCCAGTGAGAATGGTAGCTATTAAGAATACAAACAACAGGGCTGGGGATGTGGCTCAGTGGTAGAACGCTCACTTAGCATGAGTGAGGCCTTGGGTTTGATCTTCAGCACCACATATAAATAAATTAATTAAATAAAGATACTGTGTCCAACTACAACTAAGAAATAAAGATTTAAGAAATTTTAAAAAATACAAACAACAATAAGTGTTGGTGAGGATGTGGGGAGAAAGGCACACTCATACATTGCTAGTGGGACTGCCAATTGGTACAAGCAATATGGAAACCGTATGGAGATTCCTTGGAAAACTGGGAATGGATCCACCTTTTGACCCAGTTATCCTACCCTCTATACCCAAAGGACCTAAAAACAGCATACTACAGGGACACAGCTACATCAATGTTTACTGCAGCACAATTCACAATAGCTAAACTGTGAAACCAACCTAGTTGCCCTTCAGTAGATGAATGGACACAGAAAATATGGTATATATACACAATGGAATAAAAGAGCAATAAAAGAGAATAAAATCAAAGCATCTGCAGGTAAATGGATGGCATTGGAGAATATAATGCTAAGTGAAGTTAGCCAAATCCAAAAACCCAATATTGAATGTTTTCTCTGATATAAGGAGCCTGATTCATAGTAGGGTTGGGAGGAGGAACAAGGAAACATTAAAGGAACTCTAGATAGGGCAAAGGAATGACAGGGGAAGGGAGGGGGTATGGGGGTAGGAAAGATGGTGGAATGAGATGGACATCATTACCCTAAGTAATGAAGACACAAATGGTGCGAATATACTTTGTATACAACTAGAGATATGAAAAATTGTGCTCTATATGTGTAATACAAACTCTAATGCATTCTGCTGCCATATTTAACAAATTAGAATCAAAAATTTAAAAACATTAGTTAATTAGTTAATATTGCAAATACTATGTAGTGCTTATTTATCATAACAAAGTAGTTTACTAGAATAAAAATTGTGGAGGAGGGAAATGACGATATATGTACAGATATATGTACAGATAATGTCTGCCCATAACATTTCTTAGAAGGGCTTATACGGAACAGTAACAAAATAGAAATGAACATTCTTAGCACTCATATCTTGATTCCTACATGTCATATCCCATAATGAACCAGACATTCAAGGAAAAATAGGTTGCATCAGCAGGTAAGAAAAAAAAAACTGAAACTTTATATTGTTGTGCACAGAAAATTTTAAATGAATATTAATAAGAAAGACTAAGGTCTAGATAAAAAATAAGAATACTAAATGAGGCTGGGTTTGTGGCTCAGCAATAGAGCACCCACCTAGTATATGTTAGGCACTGGATTTGATCCTCAGTACCACACAAAATAAATAAATAAAATAAAGGTACTGTGTCCACTAAGTGTGTGTGTGTGTGTGTGTATATATATATATATATACACACACACACACACACACACACACACACACAAATAATCAAATTTGGGACAATATCAGTAAATATAAAAATCACATTGATTAGTTTCATCCACAGAATAAAGCAAATTTCCATACTGATATAAACAAGTGGAAGATACAGTATAAAATATAAAATTCCAATTGCAACTGGACTTGGTGGCACTAAGGAGAGATTGATCTTGGACTAGCATTGACTCCCACCCACACTGTTTTTTATTATAGTAAAATACACTTAACTTAATCTTCACTATTTTAATGATTTCTTAACTATAAAGACCAAATGTATTAATTACATTTGCCTATGATCACAAATATTTGAAAAGGTGTAGAGAGATGATTGAAAGTTTGAAGCCTGGTTGTATCCTGGTGTTGTATGTATTAAAAATAATAAAGTTTGAAGCCCAGCTTAGGCAATTTAGAGAACTTGTCTCAAAAATCAAATAAAAATTCAAAAAGGGCACCAGGGAAGCAGCATAGTGTTAGAGCAATTGCCTAACATGGACAAGGCCCTCTGCTTAATCCCCAGTACCTAAGAACAAATAAACAAACAAACAAACAAAGAAAAAAAAACAATAAAACACAGAACAAATGTTTGATTTTTTTAAAATTACATCTATCACTTAATAACAGTGGCAAGCAAGAAACACCAATGTATAATTAATTTAGTAGATAAAATGTGAAGAATATTTGTAGTATCATCTTTAAAAGGTATTAATTATAAGACAAATAAGCAAAATAACATCACTAGCAACAAGATCAACAATATATGCCCCTTTGGCAATGAAATGATAGAAGCATAAAATCATTTTCATAGCATTTGTTCCAAAAACTAATAAAATCAATCACAAAGATTAGACAAACACAAAAAAGGGGCAGTAATGGGCAGAAATTCTTTAGAATGCTCAAATAATAAAGATCATTAAAATAAAAAAAATGGAGAAATGCCCAAAAAGAGGCACAGGACAACTTTATATAATGTAGAAACAAACTTTCAATCACAGACCCATAAAATTTCATTGACACTAACAACACAAATATCAATAAGGTATGTGGATCAGTTAAAATGATATATAAATGAAAATATCCTGATTTAGAGAACTAAATAATATAAGAAAGGTAGGGACAAATATAAAATTACTATGTACTGCTACATTAACATATTTTAAATCCAACAATTATTTCAATTTAAAAACCTTTTACAAAAGTTATACAAGTATTTAACTCTTTCCGATCTGAAATTGCTCTCAAAGAGCCATTAAAATAATATAATGCTCTGGAAAAAAACACTTCTTACATGCAAATATTATTTCACAAATTCCATATAAAATTTTAACATGAAGGGAATTATATATTTTACAATAAATTTATTTTATTCTCAAGGTGAAAGAATGTTCAACTAATCAATAATATAAAGGGCAAGTATCAATAGCTGTCCCATAAAATAATTAAATCTTCACTAAATTTTATAAAAACTCACTAGAAGTTATATAAAATGACCAGAAAAAACCTAAACAACCTCAAACCAATAAAATTCATATTAATGGCCAAATAATCAATGGTATAATCTAGTTTTACATACACTAGAATAATTTCCCAGAGTATTTAATCAAGAGTAATAAAAATGATAATACTAAAATGATAAATATTATAACCAGAGATATGAAAAATTGTGCTGTATACATGTAATAAGAATTGTAATGCATTCTACTATCATTTATTTTTTTAATTTTTAAAAACTGAAAATACTATTATAAAAGGATACAAAATGATTTATCAATAATAAATTGGAAAATTGTTCCCAATCACTACAGTTAACAAAAGTTATGAAATATTGTAGGAATGAAAAAATATGTTCAACTGTACTGGCAGTATCCCAATACAATAATTTGATTAGAAACAGAGAGACATACCTTGAAGTTGGATAGGAAGACTCAATTTTAAAGTGATCTATTCTCTAATTAATCTATTAAATTTGGTGCAAATGAAATTAAAACTGCATTTTTTCCAATGTGTAAAATAATTGTAAGCATCAACTGAGAAAAAAATGCAATTATAAACACGGAAAATTCTGAAAAAGAAGAGAAATGAGAACTGAATGGAATAAATGAGACTGTATAAATCATTAGTAAATGAACTGTCAATAGAAGGTGTGGCAAACAAATGAAGCCAAATACAGCTAATTTTATGTAGTAATTTTCTATGATTATGATAGAACTTAAAAGAAGTAACAGTAAAAGTCAAGGCAAGAAATTTGAATACTTATTATGCTAACAACATAGCAGTGATTAGTAGAGCAAGAAATCAACTGACAAAAATATTTGATGGAAAAATAGGAAGACAATGCAAATAAATGTATGCTACTAATATAAACATGTTTATGAAGAAAAACACAAAACACATAGGCAATAAAGCAGGATTATATTTCAACACATAATTTGTATACAACCAAAAAATAAAATTATAGCACAGTAAAGAAAATGGAAAAACACACATACGCGTATATATTATATATACATATTTCATTTACAATATATGACATAATGTTAACATAAGTATAAATGAGTTCTTAGTAATCAGTAACAAAAAGACTTATTATAGGGAAGTGAAAATAAAGGAACAAGAATTTGAAATAATACAAATGAATACTAATATAATATGAAGATGATCTAATTTAACAGAAAAAGAAGGGACTTTCTTTTTAATATACATTATCAATGATCAAGAAAATACTGATATCTAATGTTTACACAGTATTAGAAAATGGGGAATGCTGATTAAACAATGGAAGAACTTACTCCAATTAGGAGGAAATTTACTCAATTGTAGATTTTGGAAATACTTTTCCCCGGCAATTCCAATCCACAGAAAATATTCCAAAGTAGCTGAAAAATTCAAATTTATACATAAGGATGTTTACCAAATAGAGAATACATAGCTAAGATCAACCCATGAAAAAAATACAAATTATATCAATTTAATAGCAAATAGTATTAGAGTATGAATTAGAAGGAGAAAAAAATTTAATAAACAAAAATATTAGCTTAGCATGGTGGCACATCCCTATAATCCCAGAGAATTGAAGACTGAGGCAGTAGGATTGCCAAGTTCAAAGTCAGCCTCAGAAATACCTTCTGCAACTAAGCAAGACACTGTCTCAAAATAAAAAGGACTGGGGATGAAGCCTAGTGGTAAAGCACCTCGGGGTCATTTCTCAGTACCAAAAAAAACCTGCTTCACAAGATTCTGCATTCTTTAATATTTTAAAGTCATGTTCAAATTTATCCTGTCATAAGTGATAATTATAAATGCATGCACTTTATACTTATGGAAAACTTCTCTGGACACAAATGTTTCTTCCATTGCACTTCCTGAGATAAAGTCCAACAGCAACAATAAAGACAATTAATACAACTAAGTATTAGAATTTTCTGGGCTATATTTTAGGTCTCTTTTCAAAAACAAGTTTTCTGAGTTCAGTTCTTCTGATGAGCAAGGAGTGTCCATTGCAACACACATTAAGTATAAAGTCTTCATTCATTATGCAGAACATATTTTAGTTTTGAGGAAGAAGGTGGTAAAAACAATGGCATGCATTTCTTTCCAGTAATTCCCTGAAAGGACAAATAGAAAAATGGGAAAAGTTTAGGAGAAAACTTAGTATCATCAGCAAGGACTATAAAGTGCAACATTCATTCTATTATCAAAAATTCCTACTGGAATTTATAACAATAAGGAAATCAGATATTAGCCTTCTTTTTGTAACTTATTAATATTAACTGATCCTCTGCATATGATATGATGCTCACACTGTCTATTTGGCTGCTTATATCTCAATGTTATCATTTATATACAGAATATTATAAAGAAAAGGTACATGGTCTATACATGTGTTTATACACACAAAAAAATAACAATGTCTAATCAAATATCAGGAAAAAAATAACAATATGAAAAATAAAGAGGATGCGGGACACAGTGGCAAATGCCTGTAATCCCAGTGGCTCAGGAAGCTGAGACAGGAGGATCACCAGTTCAAAGCCAGCCTCAACAAAAAGTGAGGCACTAAGCAACTCAGTGAGACCTTGTCCTAAATAAAATACAAAATAGGGCTGATGATGTGGCTCAGTGGTTGAGTGCCTCTGAATTCAATCCCTGATTCCCACCCCCCAAAAAAATATTTCTGTTAAAAAAAATGAGAGAGAGGCTTTGATGGAGCTATAAAGAGAACATAACATAAAAATCATGTGGACGTTGTTAAAAAAGGGTTGACCCACAACACAATAGTTGACACCATATAAAACTGTTTCAGGATATTCAACCTCAACACATGCTACTGCAAACTAGTAACATTAAAGAGCCATTAAACTTAGGAAAAACAGGCTATATAAATAAACTTATATCACTAAAGCACCCCATTCCCCACCAAATGGGCAGTCAGTGGCCCTTATAGTCATACCGCCAAGTGAGAGATAGGAGTGAAGAACACATGAATTAAATTACTCCAACAGATCTTTCATTGCTAGTACATATCATTCACAGGATTAAAACCAAGGATGACAGAAGTATTCTTTCTTGAAACTATCATCTGTTAACAAGAAAAACAAAACAATTTAAGCATATCACTCTGAAGAACTGCTAAGGTAGTAGGGTAAGTGGATATTCATGTTTAATATTTTTAGAAATGTCAGTTAACAGTTACAAGTACTGTCTTGTTAATCAACCCTACAGCTGAGTTAACTTTAACATAAGTCATGATTCACTACTTCAGTTAGCAATTATGCTGGTTTCCATAAAATTATCTTTTTGTCATAGTACTGTTATTTGCAAAAGCAAATATATTATCAATTTCTTTTTGTTGTTGTTACTTTATGGAATTAGTTATGTTGTTTTTGTTTTGTTTTAATTTTTGTTATGTTGTTTTTGTTTTCTTTTAATTTTTGTTTTGGGGTAGCAGGGATTGAACTCCGGAGCACTCAACCACTGAGCCACATCTCTAGCCCTATTTTGTATTTTATGGAGACAGGGTCTCACTGAGTTGCTTAGTGCCTCACTGAATTGCTGAGGATGGCTTTGAACTCAGGATCCTCCTGCCTCCATCTCCCAAGCCACTGGGATTATAGGCATGAGCTACCACGTCCAGCTCAATTTCTTAATTAAACATTTGGTCACTTACTTTATGGAATTAGTTATGTTGTCATGGTTGCTAATAAGTAAAATAAACAAATGGCACACTGTGTGCACACACATAACACCTTTACTACCTTTTGATCAACTAATTCAGGGGCTGGTGAAGTAATCAGTGGCAGATTGTTTTTCCTAAAATACATAAAGCCCTGAGTTCTATCCCCCCAAACTGCAAAAAATAAAAAAGACAAATCTATTTACCAATCAAAATCCCAATGGCATTCCTTATAGAAATAGAAAAAGCAATCATGAAATGCATCTGGAAAAATAAGAGACCCAGAGTAGGCAAAGCAATCCTTAGCAAAAAGAATGAAGCAGGTGGCATTACTATTCCAGACCTAAAACTATACTACAGAGCAATAGTAACTAAAATAGCATACTATTGGCACCAAAATAGACTTGTAGACAAATGGTACAGAACAGAGGACACAGAGACTAACCTATATAATTACAATTATCTTACATTAGACAAAGGTGCCAAAAATGTACATTGGAGAAAAGATAGCCTCTTCAACAAATCTTGCTGAGAAAACTGAAGTCCACATTTAACAAAATGAAATTAAACCTCTATTTCTCACCATGCACAAACTCAACTCAAAGTGGATCAAGGACACAGGAATTAAACCAGAGACCTTGAACCTAATGGAAGAAAAAGTAGGCCCAAAATTCATCATCATGTCGGATTAGGCCCTACTTTCTTAATAAAACTCCTGTAGTGCAAAAATTAAACCCAAGAATTAACAAATGGAATGGATTCAAACTAAAAAATTTCTTCTCAGCAAAAGGAACAATCAGTGGGGTGAATAGAGAGCCTACAGAATGGGAGCAAATCTTTACCACTTGCACATAAGATAGATTACTAATCTCCAGGATATATAAAGAAATCAAAAGCCTTAACACCAAAAACACAAATAACCCAATCAATAAATGGGCCAAGGAAATGAACAGACATTTCTTAGAAGAAGATATACAATTAATCAACAAACATATGAAAAATGTTCAACATCTCTAGCAATTAGAGAAATGCAAATCAAAACTACTCTGAAATTTCATCTCACTCCAGTGAGAATGGTAGCTATTAAGAATGCAAACAACAATAAGTGTTGGTGAGGATGTGGGGAGAAAGGTGCACTCATACATTGCTGATGGGACTGCAAATTGGTGCAGCCAATCCGTAAAGCAGTATGAATATTCCTTGGAAAACTGGGAATGGAACCACCATTTGACCCAGCTATCCCACTTCTCTCAGTTTATAGCCAAAGGACTCAGCCATATCAATGTTTATAGCTGCACAATTCACAATAGCTAAATTAGGGATCCAACCTAGATGCCCTTCACTAGATAAATAGATAGGGAAACTTTGGCATATATACACAATGGAACATTACTCAGCATTTAAAGAGAATAAAATCACGGCATTTGCAGGTAAATTGATGAAGTTGGAGAATATAATGCTAAGTGAAGCAAGCCAATCCCCCCAAAACAAAGGCTGAATATTTTCTTTGATATGAAGATGCAGATGCATAATAGCAACTGGGGGTGTGGGGAGCATGGGAGGAATGGAGGGATAGGGCAATGGGGAAGGAGGGGAAAGGAGGGGCAAAGGGGTAGGAAAGATGGGGGAATGAGATGGACATCATTACCCTAAGTACTTGTATAAGACATGAATGGTGTGAAAATACTTTGTGTACACCCAGTTTCTTGAAAAATTGTGCTCTATATTTATAATATGAAATGAATTGCATTCTGCCATCATGTGTAACAAATCAGAATGAAAAAAAAAAATTCCACAGGATAGTGTATATATCAGAACTAGTTTCCTGAGCTTAGTTAATGTCTCACCTGAAAATGGCACCAGAATCTTCTTACCTATGCTTTGCAGTTAAGATGTAAAAATTAAGGACTCCAAAGGAAGATATTCCTGATGATTTCATCAGCTGTACTCAAGTTACCTTCAATATATCACTCATTGTGAATACCTGAAAAATAAAACATTCAATGAGCAATGGATAGATATGAACCAAGCATAAGAACATACAAATCAGGATAACATCATGTTGATCAGGCATATTCAATCAGCAAACACAATTGCAAAAAACACTTTCTATTTTAGCCAACATGGTTAGCACAAATGCCAAAAATATTCAAATATTTCCCCTGCTAATTTTGTGTGATCTATAAAATACTAAAATCTTATTTGAAATCTTTCAGCACAATGAACCAAAGGAAAAAACAAGCAAACAAACAATCCATTCTTCATTCAAATCAAAATTAAATAAGGAGGCTAGAAACAAGGTTCAGTGGTAAAGCATGTGGTTACATACTTTTACATCAAATGCAACATCTCTACAATATCTCTAATTAGTCCCCATAAATATGATCTTGTTATTAAAATTTACTCACTTTATAGAATTTTTAGTTCTATTTTTTACTCATTTGTTTATCAAAATACAACTGCTTGGCACCTACCTATAATTCCATCTTCTTCCTTCTTTTCTTGGATAATCCAATACTAGTTATTCTCTTAAATTGCATACTCTTCATAAAATCATTGAAAAAAATCATTCACAAAGGCCTCTGGGAAGACAAAGCTGGATATGACAACCAAATGCTCCAACGATGGTGAGTTGCAAGAATGAAAATACGTACAAACTGTCTCCTTAACACTTCTTTCTTGTTTAGTTGTTCATATTTTAATACCTTTATAAAAACCAAAAGAAGGTAAAAGAAACACTCCTTCTATTCTCATCTCTCTACAGAGGACTGATAAGTTTTTACCTTATTCTTCCAGACAATTTTTCTATTTCCATTAGACATATTCATTTTAGATTTTTTTCACATAGCAATTTACAAATGTGGATGCATCTTTTGAATTTTAACTCATATATAAAAATGCCAACAGAATTATAAAATAACATTTTAACAATAGGAAATATTACCTCACTATAAAAATCTCATTTCCAAAATGTTATAAATATTTTATAGTTAACCATTAATACTTCAGCTAGGACAAAGAGGCATAAGCATTCAAATCTATAACAAACAATTATTCAATATCTGTTCAACTCAAAATACTTCAAAACCTACATCAATATTGAAATATTTCTGTGCAAAAGTTACATTGATGTTGAGTAAGCTATAATAAATACAATCTTTCTTTCACTGGTTGATATTTCAGTTGTTTACATTATGTTTTTAAAGTAAACACATAATACTTTCCTCCTAGCAAATGTTTAAGTATTCCAACATTTGGAATTGGCTATTCCAATAGCCAATTATTACATTTAAAATATTTTATACCCACAGAATTTGATGATCTATACCAAATTCTATTCAAAAAATGAGGATTTATACTTTGATCAACACCAGAATTTTTATTTAAAAAAATCCTTCTTTATGTAACAGGTAACACATGACTTGTCTTTGATTATCACATACATGAATTATATATAGGTCACAAGAAAATTTCAAAAATAATATCAGAAAAACCAAACTATTCATAATTATTGTTGTTTTGTTCTCACAGGGATATACAAACATGGAAACAGATTTGGAATTCAAAGTAATAGAGCTTAGTATTACTATAAAATTATAGTTAGAAATAATAATAAATTGGATTCTAGAAATATGTTCAAGCTTAAAAAATAAAAGTTTCATCATTCGTAAAATAAAAAGGCCTGGGGATATAGCGTAGTGGCAGAGCACAAGCCTATATCATTCATGAGTCTCTCGGAACAATCCCAAGCAAATATATAAAAATTAAAGTAAAATAAAATATAAATCATTAAACAAACAAATGAGAAAAGCTGGAATGAGAAATATCCCAACTATTTAACTAAAACATGATTTTAAATACATGTACATGCAAGTAAATTCGCAGAGAATAAATATAGCCAGGTAACAATAATTGTACCAATCTTTTTAACTCTCTGTCTCTTTTTTAAAATGGGAATTTCCTTCTCATATCTTCTATTTGGTACCTGAGGTCAAACTGTATGCCAGGGTAATTGTTTAAATATATAATGCACACAAACAGCAATGATCCTGATCAGTGAGGAGATACAGACAATTTAACTATTGCTCTCTCACAAAACAGCAAAATGTTTGTCTTTATATTAATTAACCAATGGACTGTAAAAGCATTTACAGCAATCAATTTAACTATGGAGTTTTACAATGAAATATTTACAAATTTATACTTTCTTGAGACCCAGAGCACCTGGCAAAACTAGTTATTTTCAAATGACAAGGGTAACTGGTATTTACAAAGTTGTCTTGAATTTTGTCATGCAGTCCAAAAACATATAATACTATATTAAGTCGAAGAGGTAGAAGGAAATTTTTCTTATAAAAGGCATTTTCTACAATGATTATAAAAATACTATTAAAATGTAGCAAATACAACTACAAACTTATGAAGTTTTAAGTATATAATACAAGCAAATAGCTATGGTTAAAATGTATTTTTTTTCTTTTGATGGAAACTCAAAAGCTTAAAATACACATATTTTAACCTTTTCCTTCCCATAACTCAATAAACAGATATTTAATAAAACCCACAACTTTATGTATTTCATTGGCAAAAAATTTCAAAAAAACAATCAAATCATGAAATTTTACAATGACTTATTTACAAAATTATACTTTGTGAGACTCTATACATCTAGAAGGACAACTAGATGTTGAAAATTAAAATTTTGGTTTTACCATTATTTACAAAGTTGTCTTGAATATTGTCATGCAACCAAGGGAACACATACAGAACATTGTATAGTTCCAAGAGGTAGTACAAACTCTCTTTAATCATTTATATCTTGAATGTTGACAGCAAAGGGGAAAAAAAGATATAAGGAAGCTTGGAACATCCAGAAAAGACGACTGGATTTAACTGTTATTTCATCTGAGTATTTTTAAATATGCAATTCATACATGGCAAACTGTAGACTTCCATGGAAATGGAGTTAATTGCATAGTGTCTTCCTATTTTCTTATTTTCTCCTTCTAACATCTATATTAATATATGATAAATTTTTCTAGCTCTAAGAGCTACTTATGAATAACCAATTTAACTGCCACATTAACCAAAAATGACCATAGCACTACTAATTTTATGGATTTACAAAATTTATACTTGTGAGACGCTAGAAATACATGTTTGAAATAAAAAAAATATTTCCCCATTATTTATAAAGTTGTGGTTTTTTTGCCATGTAGTAAAAAAAAGAACCACATAATTTAGAAATTCTATAAAACATGTAAAAAGAAAGAAATGCATCACGAACGTAAGTTTAGCAAAATAAGATATGTCTACTTATCTGTTACATAGACACATTGTATTTACATTAAATGGACACCCTGGAATGATAATCTAATTTTACTTGTAAATGTGGTAAAATACCACTATCTTCTCTAACATGACAATATATGTACTAATAACATGCAAGCACAGAAGCTTTTGTCAATGTAATGTACAAGTAATTTGTACAATCACAGAAATATATTCACGTTTTTCCAAAAGGTAAAAATAATACTTTACCATTAAAAGAAAAATATTTCTTCTTTTTCTAATTCTCATCAACTCACATGCATCTAACTAAAAAAGCTGAAATATTATAAAGCAACTATTACAGATATTTAATAAACACCCCCAAAGCTAACCACCTAATGCTGTTAAAATCATTTATAATTATTTATATTTCAACAAGTTAAACAGTTTAACAAAGTAATGGTTGCAATATATAAATGTTCACCATCTCTACCAAAACAAAAACAGAAGTAAGCAAAAGGATTGTACATGTACATGAAACTGTGATCATAAAAAAATCCATCCTTTCCACATACCTTCCAACAATAAATTTTAATATGTACAAAATTACATGGCTGTATTAATTTAAAAAGGTTATTTTCCAAAATGTATATGCATCAGCAATGCCATTCTGTGGGAAAATGTTCAAAACATATAAATGTATACTTTTTGTATATACTCTCACATCTACATACTACACATTCATGCGTGCACACACATGAACACACAGATGTGATTCTGACATTTAGTTAATTCTAGCTCAACACAGTGTGTTCATGCCTCCTCACAGACAAAAAGGCAAAAAAAAGTTAAGAGCAAAGGTAATGAATCATTTTACAAAATGACTCTAATCACAAATAATGATTCGTAACACAGAAATATGGATTGATTAATTGCAAGAAGGATTTCAGAAGTCATACATTTCTTGAAACATGTTTTAAAATGTACTAACTATATATACATATCTGTGTAAAAATCCTACTAAATAGAGGCTTGGGTTTTTGCATTTTGTTAATTGCATTTCAATTAACAAAAAAACACTTTCTGTCCTATAATTTATTTTATTTTTTTTATTTATCCTATTTATTTTATGCAAAATATATTCACAAAATGTGACAGAAAATTCTCCACATCTACAAATGTAAACAACATGTGAACATGTACATAACAACTGAAAACAAAAAAAATGTAAACCAAAACTTGCATATATACCATGTATATATGACATGAATATATGTGTGTATCACTCATATCCATAACAGGTAGATATATAGTTATATATGCTACATATATTATAAGAACATTTCCTATCATATACCAAAATCTAAAAATTGAGGGCAATGATCCAATGACTCTTTCAATCTTTTCACATGGAAGTCATATAAAAACCATCTCTGAACATAGGCCCAGCTGCTAAAACTCCATCCTTATATACTAAATCCATATCTTAAATTTGCTAAATTTAAAGTAGTTTAGCAATCCCTCTAAGCAATAAACAGAATCATAATCATTCCTCAAATGTAAAATATCAGACATTTTTCTTATTAGAAATATTCCCTAACAGTTTTGAGTGGCATACACATACCTCTGTCATACAAAGCCCACCTGGTTGTCAATGTTAGTGTTCATAAAGGTTTCTCTCTTCTGCAACTTCATCATGAAAAGGAAAGCTCATATCATAAACATTTAACAGTGAGACATTTGCAAAACATAGATATACCCATGAGTTCTACACATATAGCAGCCTTAACAAAATTCCAGGGGCTGGAGTTGTAGCTCATGGGACAGGAGTTATAGCTCAGCAGTAGAGCACTTGCCTCATATGTGTGAGGCACTGGGTTTGATCCCCAGCACTACATATAAGTAAGGAAATAAAATAAAGGTCCATCAACAACTAATAAATAAATAAGCAGATAAATAGAGTTCTGCATTTAACAGTTCTGTGCATGTAGTATTCCTGGAAAAAGAATACTAAAGTCTTAATACCAAAGTCTAATCAAAGGAATTCAATTTACATCATTCAAAGGTAGTCTTTTCTTTAGTCATCTTTCTATATAGTTCAAACTCATGGCTAACAATCTCTATATTTAACCAAGAAAATGTCAGAAAACAGTTACATTGAGACGCTGCATAGAGTGAATTCTCAAATGTACTTTAAAAATGCTTCTAATTAATATATAAAGCATTTTTAATCTCCTTCTTTATTACTCTTAAAACACTGAAAAAAATGAACATAAAATTTATTCCATACTAAAACATTTAAGAC